TTATTTGATCTAATTAAAGATCCTAGCAGAATAGCAGAGATAACTATACCCACACATATAGCAGCAAATAGAGATCCAATGATACGCATACAAGAACATTCACAGCAGCAATTAGAAATATATCTAATAAAACATCCATAGAAATCTTTTGTTTGGAAAACCTTAAACTGATTTACTTTTTACGTAATTGATTTTTAAATTTTCGTTTACGGACATCATTCATCATAAACAATTTATCTGGTGTTACATTGCCTGGATAATTTTTATTTATTTCAGAATCATTATTGATACTATTTGGTAATTTGTTTCCAAGAAAGTCTCCAATTTGCAGAGTTGTTTGATCAAGGTTTTTATTAGCTTGATATAAATCATCATCAGGCGGTATATCAGATTTGATCTATGATAAAAAAAAACAGAATAATGTGATGATTTTTGTTCGTTTACATACCGGGTCTTTAAATGAGTCAATACTTTTTTTAGGTTCAACTTTGTTTTTTAGGAATGATTGAGAAACTGAAACTTTTCTGTAGACATTAACAGAACGGATCAGATCCTTTGAACGTTGTGCGGAATTCTACAAAGATTATCAAAAAAAAACATTATGATGATCATATAGTGTCTAACGAGTTGCAATTGTATCTGTTCATTGTTAGATTGTTTCTGTGCGGTATGAGTATTATTTTGTGATCTTATAGTTACATGAAGAATAGAGATCGATGATGACTTTGTTGTTATCGATGGACGCTGAAATAAATAAAATAAAATCAAAAATACGATATGAAATGAATTTACAAGTTTTCCTCGTGATCGATGATGATGAAGCTTAACAACATGTGGCTGAATTCGGCAGACATGACCTAGATAATACATCTTCGATATTATTCAACTAGATCATTTTTATTTTTTATTACCGTTTACTCTTTGTAACAATTCTGGAGTTTTCATTGTCAAACTTTTCTAATCACATAGAATAAAGCGAATACAGTTTTATAATATCATAATATGGTTTCATTTCTATCAATATACTAATAATTTTCTTTTATAAAAAAGAAACAGTAGCATATCTAATTAGTGGCATATTTCTTTAATGAATATTGAAAAACATGATTTCTATGTTTTCATTGTTTTTGTATTATTAAAGTTGAAATATAGACTAATTATTATATAGAGCAGAATGTTTGATTTCAAGCAGCCATAAAAAATAAAAGTAAGTCATTTTAAGAAAAGACTCATCAAATAGATATTTCAGTCAAACTAATATTATTATATTACATGTTGGTTTGTCTGTTATTTCGATAAATAAGAAGACAATGATATAATGTTATTAATAAATAATCATTCAATATTATCTTTGTTTGATACGAATAATATTATTACATCTAGTTGGTATTCGTCAACAATATAATTTTCTGCATATCTTTTGATTCTTTATAATTTATTGCATTAATACTTCTTCTGTATTGAATTACAATATTTTCTTTTTTTTATATTCAATTTATATAGGATTATTTAGTTTTGTTTTCACGTGTGTTAAAAGTACTTTCAATAATATGTAAATATGAGTTTTTATCATCAGAATATATAGAGCTATATATGCATTTGTCTTGTCCTATTTAAAATAGTTTAATTAATCAAAAATATTTATTTTTTAAAAGTTATTTCAGTCAATACAGGTAAATGATCAGATGGATAGAATCCATTATTGGAATCATTTAAAGTTCCATGCTGTAATATATTGAAATATTGTGATGTAATAAAAATATGATCAATACATTTGACCATTCCATAATCGACAAAAAAAGTAGAAAATGTACGATCTGGACCACAATGAGATCGTTGTGATAGAATTTTGCTATCTTTCAAAGGAGTATTTGTAGTTATTGTATGATAAACATCTGAATAAGGCGATGCATTAAGATCTCCTGTCAATATTATAGGTATTGAATATCCAGTTATTAACATTATTTGAATTAGAATAAGACGAGCACTTTCTAAACGAGCAATGCGTCCTTTACTAGCAAAATGTGTATTAAAATGATAGAAAATTTCATAGGTTTGTCGATCACGTAATTTAACCCAACTACATATTCGTGTATCAGCTCCATCCCAACCTTCACTACCAGGTTTTGTTGGTGTATTCGAAAGCCAAAACGTACCATTATCAAGTAAATCAAAACGATCAGAACGATAAAATATAGGAACAAATTCTCCACTAGTTTTACCATCTCTATCACCTACACCGTAATAATTATAATGTGGTAAGTTATATTTTAAATCAGATATTTGTCCACGAAGAGCTTCTTGAAGACCAAATATATCAGGTGCACGAGTTCGAATAAGATTAAAGACATTCTGTTTACGGACTGACCATCGATTTATTCCATCTGCAGCTTTATCATATCGAATATTATAGGACATAACACGCAAGGAATTTGCTCCACCTATCGATGACATAGCTACAAAGAAAAAAGTAGAAAATTTAACACTCATAACTAACGATCTCAACATATTTTTTTGAATACTTACCACAAGGTGTTTGCGCATCTGTTACATGATGATAAAATAGAATAACGATCAGAAAAAATAACATGGCTTTGTAATCTAAAATCAACAAGGAAAGACATAACAAGAGAAACACAGCTTTTAAACACAAATTCGTTGTTCTAATCAAGGAAGGATTTATTTCTGTATCATATAATGTTACCATATATATCAAAACAAAAACTTGTAATTAATAGTAAGTCATGTTTTTTTTAATCTTAATAAGATATATGTGTAGGTGTAAATTCTATTGGATTTTTAAGGACATTTTTAAAACTCTGCATTTTCTATACGATCTTTAATTATGTCTATTCTTAAAGTTTTATGAAAAGTAATTTTAATAAAAATCTCTATCTCTATGTCCACCACAAACACGAAAAGCAAAAAATTGAGGTACAATCGCTAATATAGAATTAAGGCCAACAGTTATGAACCAGTTATCCGAAGGAATTGCAGACCATGTAGAATCCGAAACTAATGGTGGATTGTGTAATGAAGAAAATAAATAAGAAAATTGAGCTTGTGCAGCCGCTCCAGCATGTACCATAGTCAAATCGGGAAACCATTCGAATTTCGTTGATTCTTGATCATTAAATATCAATACATTAATTGCAGAATAATAATATGGTATGAAATAAAATGCATATATTAAAATTTGTACTAAAGGAAATCCTGATTCATTTAATATATAAGGTTCATATTCATAATAAAAACTATTCTTCATCATTGGAGTCTTAAGAACATGTAATACACGAAATATTGCAAATATTAATGCAAATAACATATAAATAATAAAACCAATATCTAGAAGATGTGAAATGAATGATTTTTGGCGTAATGGTTTTCTATTTCCTTTTATTTGTTGTTGAATAAAAGTAGTACGTGTACGAAATTGTCGTACGAGGAATATTAATGGAAACATCATATATGGTACATTTAATAAACAAGATGGTTTAATATGACTACCATATCGACCAACAGCAGCACCACCTACAAGTACGATTAATGAATTAATCATTGAACCACACCAAAATAATGATAGAAAACGAAAGAATTTTGTTTTTGTTTTTTGTTTTAACATACAATATAACATGATTAAATATAATAGATAATGTACGGTACCATCCCAATAATTAATATATAAACCGTGGGAAGTTTTCAAATAGACTTCACCTTGTTCCAAATAAAAATGAAAAGCAGATGAATAACCATCGATTGTTAAAGCTAATAGAAGATCAGCAATAGCAGTAAATGAAAATATTGTAAATACATAGAAATATATTTCTTTTTTTACATGTAATAAATGTTTAATTAATAGAAAATATGTTAATGGTGCAACTGATATACAAATAACTGCACTATAAAGAAAAACATTCAATGAATTTTTCATTTCTTTCATATAAGATAACATATAACATATAGGTACAGATAAAAATGAAACAGCAATAACACCAAATAATATCCGTACAGTTGATTCTTGTTCAATAGATTGTTTCATTATTTTATTTTCAATACTAATATTATCCTTTGCTGTTGCTTGTGTATTAGTTTGAGTGAGACTACCATCAGATGTCTGCGATTTTTTCTTTTTCGAACGATTCATTATTATATGTTTAATGTTTACAGATTTTATGCAATATAATATTCTTAAACAAAATAGATTTTATCAGTAATGTTGTTATTGAAGGAATAAAATAAAATAATGTATTAGTTAAAAGCGATGAAGCGCGATATATAGTAAGAAATAAATATATTGATGATTTGTTGAGTAATTAACCAATTGCACAGAACCCTTTAAAAGAAAAAATTATTAGCGACCTTTTTTGGTGCACCTGTGCGCAGTATGAATAGTCATACGAAAAATTATAAGATGATCAGATAATTGATAATATGACTTCCAATCTATCTGCTTAGAAACGTATATCAAAATGTATTATTCTAATTTTTTACTTGAGTATAGATATATGAAGTATTTAGTCGTGAAATAGTTCATTTGTTTTGTAATATAGATTTGCAACTTTCGATTCATTTTTGCTACTGTCGCTCAGAACGAACCTCCACAAACGATAACATATTCACAACACATATGTCGCTATTATATCTTCAATAGAAGAACGATGAATTTCAACTTCAAAATCAGATACCATGAGATTGTTTTAGGGTGTGTGTGAGTAGAGATGGCTTAATAAATTCTTCATTTGAGTAAGATTGTATTATTGCATTATAGGAGCTTCTGCATTTTTTTGCTACTCATTACTTTCCTAAGAGCAAATAAATCAATGTTATTAAGTAAAACAAGTTTGTTAATTCTTACTCCACGACCTCCGACAGAATTTATTTTTGAAATAACATACAGTAAAGCGTGTTCTTTTTTTTATGGAAATTGAATTAAATTAGAAAATTAATTCAAAATAATAGGTTCTCATATCATCCGAACCGATCGATTCGTATGACATGAATTGTATTATCATGTGATAAACTACAAATTATTTCTATTTCCAAAGATTTTGGTCACAACATACTGACATTAAATTCTCGATGTTATAATTTCTTCTACAATATTCAATGTCATTTAAATATAAAAAATATATCCTTAAGAAATATGAAAATAAAAGACAAAGAAACTTATCCATCGGTTAAAATTGTTGTTGTAACTCTTTCAATTTCGAATGTCATCTCGTAGATGTCATACAGAACATAAATGAAATATTTTGCGTTCTGTAGTCTTCTTAGAGATTGTACATATCATATGACCTTTTCAAATTTAATTTATTTAACACTATTGATTGTTTTATAAACAATGAGTGCTCGTCTACATGTTTAAAAATAATAAAATTAAACTTAAAACGCAAGAAAATATCAGAATTGAAAGGATTCAATACCAAAAATATTACAGAAATTCTATGAATACTTTTTCATATTTGTATAATTACTCATGAAAAACTTGTGATAATATAACTTCTTCAATAAAAAAACTATGACGAAAATAAGACTTATTGTTTATTTCACAAAAATTGCATTAACATTTATTTTTGTCAAATTCCTATTATTACCCATGATTTCCTTGGACTTCTTGTTGCAACTATACTATCGAAAGAGTATAAAGTGATTAAAGTGTCTTTGACGATAACTAATCCTATTTCACTTCATTTTTTAATATTTACATAACGCAGTATTCTTTGTAAAAAATATGGCAAGAAGAGAATCAGTGTTTACTTAATTTTCTCTGTCGAAAAGAAACGCAAAAATCGATCAGAAAAATTATTTAAAAAAAATAAAATTCATGGTTAAAACAGTAAATGTATTTGTAAGATCGTTCATAGTGACATGAATCCTATGAATAAAATAGTTGCTTTTCTCGCCTTGATTTTCATAACAACTAGCAATGGTCAAAGTGAGTATCTGAGATAAGAATAGACAATTCATATTAACAGAAACAAAATATTTAGGTTGTTCAACATATAATCCATGTGGTCAATATGGCTATTGTGTAGAAATTAGTAATGTTAGTTCAGAATGTATTTGTAAGTTTTGGTGGGTTGGATCGTATTGTAATGAACGTAAGTATCGAACAATCAGTTAAACGTTTTAGAAGTATCGAAAATTTAGTTATTTAAGGTTGACATGACCTCTGAATAATCTAGATTTGATATTCAATGTTGTCTAATCATATTTATCGTTTAGAATCTAGCAGTGGTATCCAAGTCATTGTTCTTGGTGTTTTAGTAGCTATTCTACTGATTGTTTTCTACGGTCTTTCAATTTTTTGTTGGGCTCGTCGAAGAAAAGAACAACCAAAAAAAGAGGAAAAAAGGTACAACAATAATTAAATTTAAAAATACATCCTTCTGTTTCTTATTTTAAGAAATAGTGAAAATAATCTGTTACAACCCAAATTAACACACGTAGCATTTACTAATGTTAAAGAATCAACTCGTTTTTCATCTTGTTTGATTGTTATTCTTATGATAATTGTAGCCACAGTATCATTAGTTGTAAAATGGTCACTTTTACAACCAATTCATAATGAATTAGTCGACAAATATATACAGAAGGAACCATTGTTTTATGTAAGAAATTCATTTTGTAATGCAATTGATTTGCAAGATGGTTACAATCTGATAACAATTTCTGTATCGTGTTTTTGTATAATAATTTTTATCGTTTTCTCGAAACGAACTTCATGTTTGCGAGGAAAACTAAATGGTTTTATCGGACCTGTAATACCTCTTGATTTTTATGTTCATGTAAAAAGAAAATTTGCTGCGGTAGTATTTGCTGTAATTGCTGATGATCTTTTGGATATTGTTGTTCAAGTCATAGATGGTTCGACATCACAAGGAGAAGGTTAAAAACAATATTTCATTATTAAATTTAAATTTTCTTTTCAGGTGTAATTGTTGTTTATCTATTACGAGTAGTAAAAATATTAATTATTGGTCTTCATCATTATCCAACATTATCTGCTGTTTATATCGATTCAATTTTAGCTCTTGCATGTGGAACACTTTATACTTGGCTTGATTTTATTATTTCAATAATTAATCAAGGTCTATGTGAAACAGATTATTATCCATCAGATGATAATGTTGGTGATACAAATGGGTCCGATCTAGAATTATTATTCGATTATTATGGTACAGGTCAAAATCTAATAATCATTGAACTTTTAACTGATATTCCACGATATCTATGTTGGGCATATATAGTGATAAAATTACCAATATTATTAATAAATAAAATAAATGCAACAATTAAGAAGAGAAATCGAAAGGAAATCAATCGTATTCATTTAACAAGAGAAGAAAAAATTCTTTTACATTCATCAGCTGCTCATTCTGTTGAAATGTGTTATGTACGAAATCTTTTTCGAGGAAATAATGAACATCGAAAAAGTCGTTTATTCATAGGACGTTTAATACCAAAATTTATTTATGAATGGCGAGATGATTTTCGTTTTTCATCACGAATAGTTTGTGTTTATGCATCCGTATTTCTTCTTCTATATTTTATGACAATACAAGCATTGATTCGTATTATACCCGTTTTGAATGTATTTCAAGAATTACTCGAAGTGGTATTTGATGCAATAACAACAATACGTGATTCATTAAATATCCAAAAAGATTTTCCAATGCCCAATTTACTTCGTCCATTTGTTTTTGCTATATTAACAGCATTTGTAGTAACAGTAATTCAATTATTAATTCTATTAGCAAGTATTCGACGAAATTTATTTCAAATCTATCGTGGTGATGATTCAGAAATTCCACTAAGAAATAAATCAAAATATCTTAGTTATGCAGGAGGTAATTTTCATTTTGCTGGTTATTTTATTGGTTATCTTATATGGGGTTATGTTTTAATTGCTGTTTTTGCATTGATTATTTATATATGTATTGCTTCATTTATTACATTTGGTAGCGTTAGATTTCTTGAAAAAATTCTCAAATCAATAATACCAGTCGTATTATTAATTATTTTCAAACAATATCTTAATAATTTATTAGCAAGATATGTTTTTTTACAACATTATGGAGATATATTAGCAATAAATAATCGGAGAATATTGATGATATTTTTATATTTTAATTTCTTTCTCGATTCATTTCTTGGTTTTGTTTCATCGATAGTTCGTATTATTAAAAGTGTTATTGGTGGATTTTTATATATGACTCGTCTTGATTATTCACCATTGGGTAGAAAACTTGAAACATTAGATTCAGGATTTTCTGCTTATTGTGGTTTTATTCATATTGAAGCTGTTCATCGAAATCCAATAATGTTAGTAGCTGCAAGTTATTTATATGGTCGAATGAAAGCAAAACAATATGTAATTAATAATCCGATAGTAACAATAGAAAATGAAAAGAATTATTCATCGAAAGCAATTCGAAAATGGCATTTAGCAGTACTCTTATTACGAAATCCAAGATTAGTATTTTCAAGAAAAAATGCTCTTCGTGAAAAGGAGAATAAAAATACGGAAGCATTAAATGCAAAACTACGAAGATTATCACTCATTGAACAAATAACCCATCGACCAAGTCTTATCTCAGAAAACGATTTAGAAAATATGTGGCAAAAATAGTATTTATTGTATAATTAAAACATTACTGTTTTTTTGCTTTGAAATGGAATTCTGACGTTTGTAAAAGGATTTTAAGCTCGATTTTTTAAATTTCATTCGAAGGAACATTAAAATTAAATCAAAAATAGAGTTGTTCGATGATCCATTCTTATTAATATTTCGAGTAAACAAAACAAGTTATAAACTTGTATTAAACTTCAAAGTTTATTTATCTTAACAAACTTTAGATAAAACAAAATCCTTTGTGTAACAAAACAATCAAATATATATCAATATAAAAAAAAGAGTTAACTAAACGCATGAATAAAATCAGTCATTCATCAAATAGCTTTGGTTTAACCATTTAGTATTTAGAGTTTCTGTCGTATTGCTGCTAAATCTACACGATCGGTAATACGAGGATCTCCATAGTTTTTAACAATATAAGTAAAACCTTGATGAATCCATACACCAGCAATAGCTCCAAGGATTGGACCACTGATTGGTATAAAAAAGAAATAATTATCTATACTAAATACATCACTTCGACCATATATAAATGATCCGAAAAGACGTGGACCAAAATCACGAGCCTAAAATATAATAAAAATTTTACAAATAAATCTTGACAATTCTTTTACAGGATTTAGTGCAGCTCCAGCATTGATTGAAAATGCACAGGTTATTCCTATTATGATTAATACAAATGCAAATGGTTTTGTTACTTCTGATGTCATATGATTAAAATCCTATATGAAAATATAAATCAATTTCTTATTTATTTTATTTAATAAATTACTCGTGTAAGTGCCATTATAAAAATCATTAAAATAGCAGCAATTATAAGTTGATCAAGAAATGTATTCCAATGAGGTACACCATCAGAAGGCATTGTAAAAAATATATCAGCTGTACCATTAGGACCTGTCATTTGTCTTATACCACCATCAAATTTATTAAATTGATTTAGATAAACAAGATAAACTAAAGCCGCTCCTAAAAATGCACCCAATATTTGACCAATTATATAGAACATACATTGTAATGGTTTCACTAATCCAATCGTCATTAACGATATAGTAACTGCTGGATTTATATGTGCACCTAATATTAAATATATATCAAATATAATTTTGATCATAAGAAATGAATATTTAACTAACCTGAAATAGGCCCGGCAATCATTAATGCTAAAATAAAACAAATGAAATTAATAAATATAACAACAATCATTTGAATTTGTTTAAAAATACCTGCATAAACTCCAATAGAAAATGCAATAGTAATTGGAAGTGTAGAATGAGATGTTTGTTGAGCGAATTTATAATTAGCAAGAGCAGCTTCACCTATAAGTATTAAAATGCATGTTCCGAAGCATTCGGATAATAATTCTACAGTATATTTTTGTAATTTTTCTTTTGAAACCATGTTCGTCGTTTATTTTCTAGTATAAGAATAAAAATGAAATACGAAGAATAGTTATAGTGAAACTATCCGATATATAAATACATGTGACCAACCATTTCTTTTCTTTTCTTATATATTATATATATATATATAGAAATGCAAAGAACAGTAAAGTATATCATTCTTATATAATCGCAAGATATTTTAGAAAATAAGATACGACCAAAGAATAGTTCCCAATAAAACAATCGATATACAGCTGTTACACTATTAAATGGTATATAAATTTAGAAGATATTGACTATTTCTGTAAAACTATATTCTTTCATATAATACAGTACAGATATTAAACACTTACACTGTCTTCTATCAAGAAATAGAATCGACTAGCTTTACTGTTTTTGTCTTATTAGTTATAAAAAAATATTAAAAATAAAGAGTTCCACTAACTCATTCATTTTATTTTATTTATGTCTATATAGTTAAATTTAGTTTTCAAAAGATAGATCAAACCATATTTACAATTTATTATTTCATCAAAATAGATTATATTACATTGCGTAGATATTTTTTTTTTCTTAATCAGATAAAATCAAAGAAATTAATTCTATATATTATGATTGTCATTTATAGATAATTACAAACATCTTTTTACATTTATTCTCTTATCTAGGCATGCAACGATGATGATGAACCACCGGTCCGTCGGTGTCATTTTATCGTTAGATATTCAGGTGTGGATCAATCAAATATCTTTAATAAAGATAAAAGTTGATTTTGTTTAAATGTAGTTCATATCAGTTATATATTGTTTAATTATAAAGTTAGATCAATAAATAATAATCTAAAATAGTCTACATAGATTAAGTTCAAATAATCAATGATATCTTTTAACTGTTTCAGAAGTATTTTTATTTGAGACAATAGATATACAAGATAATTAAAGAGAATATACCCGTCATTGTAGCAACTATATTGATATTACGAGCTACCATTGAAGTTTTTAATGCATCTTGCATAAGACCTTCTTTTTTTAAATATTTTGTCTCAATTGAATAATATAAAGCGAGGCAACCAAAACATATATTGCAACAACAGAAAATATTTATAATAGACCAAGTTTTGTAACTGCTAATTTCATTTGTTGACTGAATTATATTTTGATTGAGGTTGTTAGAGGATGATGAAGAATTTATATTGTACGTCGATTGAGGTTGATGAATTTGAGTATGAGTAGTTGAACAATTGACTGGTTCTGTAGATTGAACTGTGTAATCAGGTGGTTTAGGATAAAGAACTGCATAATCAGGTGGTTTGGAATAAATAACCTTTGCTGAATTTCTATCTTTCGATAAATTATAAATAGTTAAATTTGATGCAGCCATAATGATCATAGTATCGCGTATGATATATCATAAAGTGATAAGTGTTATTTATCTTATCCTTCTATCTATATATTAATCGATAGAGAAAGAGAAATATGGTTTATATATTATAGGAGCAGATATAATTTTGGTCTTTTAATTATGCTCGTGATCTGTCAAGATTTTATTTTTATTTTTTGTTGTTTAATCTCGTCTATATAACGTCACACAGAAACTATAATGAGAAAAAGAGAGAAAACCAACAAGAGAATACTCACCTCGAGTTAACATTTGTTTTGTAAGAAAGGAAATAAATACTATTAGAGAAAGGAGAAGAAAGTACGGATGGCACTTTATCTTTACTTTACTAAGTTAAGTAAAATAGAGTAAAAGTAGTTACTTTACTGTACTTAGTAAAGGAAAGTTAAATAAAATAAAATACCTCTACTTCGATCATCCAAGCAGACAAGAATTTGGAAAAACGCGTGTTCACGCTGCAAAAGAGCTATTTTTGAGCGATTATACGCGTGTAAAAAAATAGGCATGTAAACACCAATAGTTCTATTTTTTCGGCAGACAAACGTAAAAAATCAGTCTCCGTCATTCTTTATTATATAAATGCATATGAAACTCATTTTAATGCCATGTAAACGTTGATTTTTCCAATATGTATGTTTTTAAGTAGAAAATTGTTATTATTAAGATTTTTGTGCCTCACCTCTGCTGAAAAACTAGCGATATTTAATAATTGACGTGAATACATCAACTAATCACAATTTTGAAGCGTTGATAGATATGATATATTTATTCATTTTGTTGATCGAAAAAACTATGCTGTGATAACTGCAATAATCGATCAAGCAGCATATGTTTATTATAAAAAAAATTATCATTATTCTCGTTCAAAACTTCATAACCTTTTAACGAATATAAAATTAGATCACGAATTTTTTTACTCTGTCACACGCACGATGTACGAAAATTTTTGCCATTTAAACACTTTCATTTTGTAGAACATCTTATTTACGAAAAATTTATATTAGTTTTATGGTATGTATAGGTACATTTATGATCGTTTGTTAATTTGCCACTTCGAAGCACAATGATAATTGATTTTTCCCATTATGATAGAGATAAATCGAAGTATCGCGATTTTATATATTATCTAAATGTTTATTTGCATAGTTTGAATGAGAGCAGTTCATATAAACTATCAAAGATTGATTCTGAAAAATAAATAAAAACAGAATATAATGAAGAATCAGTTATTCCAAGAAAAATAAAATTAGAATAAGAAAACGTCAGTAATAGCTGTGTTTGAACAGAAAAATAAAATAAAATAACAATTAAGTGCCTTCTACGACGTTCGGATATTGATAAAAATGAAAAACCTTATGTTTACTGTAAGCTAGTTTGACGATTACGTCATTCAAGTGAACTGTTATCCTTTGAGGAGGATCTATGAGATCGTGGCGATGAATATGTATTTTGTGATATACTACATAAAATTCTTGTTTTAAATCATAAACAATGGCAGTAATAAAACTACAATTTGTTTTATATTGATTTTTGAATAATACACAAGAATCGTAAATTTTACTTGTTGAATTAGACAGAAATATAGATAATCGTATGTTGTTTTTTTGAACAACTCTTATGTAGATTAAAATTGAAAATATGTCTTTTACAAGTGAATTAGTATAACATGATCATTTGTTAACTTCAATCTACGACCTAGATGAATCAATGTCTCTTCATTTATTAATTTCTGATCAGGAAAAGCATGTAATTTTGATGATAATAAACGACGTTGAAATAATTTTATAGATGCACTGAAGTTTGTGTCGTTAAATTGAACTGTAGCACATTGTACAATATTGATATTATTAATCAATTCTGGAATAACCAGATTTGGTCCATTTATTGTTTGAACTATACTACCTAAAATAAAGACTACTGAGGAATGAGGAAATAGCTGATTCTATACATTATATAGTTGCACAAAATATGAGTTGATTTTTGCGGTTCTGTAGATTTTATTGAAAATGGAGTTAATGACTTGACTTAAATGTATTGTGGTCATTTTGTTAACTAAAGATTATTGAGTAGTCGCAAGCGTGTAAGTATACATAAACTTATATTGATTCTAACTGATTTTAATCCTTTTTGAGTATATTCAAATTATCTAGAGTACACATAAGTAATATCGGTTGGCTCAGCATCGTTCTATTATTTGTAATTATCTTCTTTTTCCTCATATTAGATGCTCAATGCTAATAAAAATGATCAGCTATATATTGTAATAAAACTATATCAGTGAAAAAGCATAATTAAGAAAAAATTATATTTTGTTAATGGTATTTTTGTGTTTATTAAAACTAAAATAAGAGATAATAATTTGAAATAGTCTGAATAGATTAAGTTAAAATAATCAATGATATCTTTTAACTGTGTCAGAATTCAATTGATTGAGAGTTTTGATAAAGAAGAAAACCAAAGCGAATATGCCCAATATTGTAGTAACTATATTGATATTACGAGCTACCTTTGAAGTTTTTAGTGCATCTTGCAAAAGACCTTCTCTTTTTAAATCTTTTGTCTTGTTTGAATAATACAAAGCAAGGCAACCAAGACATATATTGCAACAGCAAATATTTATAATAGACCAAGTTTTGTAACTACTAATTTCACTTGTTGACTCAATTATATTTCGATTGAGGTTGCTAGAAGGTGACGAAGAAGCAATATTATACGTTGATTGAGGTTGATGAACTTGAGTATGAGTATCTGAATAATTGATTGGTTCTGTAGATTGAAATGTGTAATCAAGTGGTTCAGAATGAATAACCTTTGCTGAATGACCATCTTTCGATAAATCATCAATAGTTAAATTTGATGTAGCCATAATGCTCGAAGTATCAAGTATGATATTATAAAAAAGTATTAAATGATATTGATCTAATACTTCTATTTCTATATTAATCAAGAGAGAAAGAGACATATGATTTCATATGAACTACATGATTTATTGCCGTATGATTTATTGCCATATGATTAATTGCCGCTGTAAACATTTGCTTGCAAAAATATTTTTTATTTTTTTACAACTTAAAATATAAGTTTTTTTGTTTCTAGTAAATTATATGATTAAGTTAGATAAATGTAATGATCACAGCACCAAATTTTTTTGTTGGATTTTTTTTGTCAAAAGTTTTTTTTCATGTCAGATGTTCATGAAAATAACTGTAAATCTAACTATAGTTTGTATTTGTATAAGAAGATCGTAAAAAAAGAAATTATTTTTTAGCTTAAAAGTTTATTTTTCATCATAGGTTTTCGTGAAAACGTATTAGAAAAATTCAATAATGAATATATTTTCTACTCTAGGTAAATTGTCTATTTTTCATTACTAATATGTGTAGAAAAAGTGTTCTAATAAATATATTAAATCAGAAAGTTTAAGACATCGTTAGTTTTACTAAATAGAATATTAATGTTGCGTTATACAAGGCATTTCTTAATTCTAATATTGTGATCATTAATTTACCTAAACTGTGACTCATATAATTGTAGGGTGGGTGTAGGTATTATACTCTAGTCGAGTGTACACCCTCAGTATGTGATCCGATTAGTTAAATAATTTGAAATCATAAAACAATTAAAATGACAACTAAGTCAATCTTAGATTTCAGGAAGAAAGTGAACAAACTGATTCTGTGGGTAACACATTAATTTTTCTTTGACTAAATGAAATGGATTATTTTCTGCCTATGCACAACTAATAGTATTAATTGATGTTGTTGTTGGATTTGTCGTTATTCAACCAATGTAAACTTATCATCTATTACAACAAATGTAGGAAGTACAAGTGACGCTCATCTTTCGGATTTGCTCACCTTTTTTTGAAAGACATATCTTGAGGGTGGATGTGAGTGTGGTGCGAATATTTAGTTTTATTACATACCCATAGCCACACCCTCCAATAGCAAATGCAATAGTAATTGGAAGTGTAGAATGAGATGTTTGTTAAGCGAATTTATAATTAGCAAGTAATTCATTTCATTTTATTTATGTCTATATAGTTAAATTTAGTTTTCAAAAGATAGATCAAACCATATTTACAATTAATTATTTCATCAAAATAGATTCTATTACATTGCGTAGATAGTTTTTTTTCTTAATCAGATAAAATCAAAAAAATTAATTCTATATATTATGATTGTCATTTATAGATAATTACAAACATCTTTTTACATTTATTCTCTTATCTAGGCATGCAACGATGACGATGAACCACCGGTCCGTCGATGTCATTTTATCGTGAGATATTCGGGTGTGGATCAATCAAATATCTTTAATAAAAATAAAATTTGATTTTGTTTAAATGTAGTTCATATCAGTTGTATATTGTTTGATTATAAAGTTATATCAATCAATAAGCATGATTAAGAATAAATTATATTTTGTTAATGATATTTGTGTCTTTACTAAAACTAAAATAAGAAATGATAATTTGAAATAGTCTAAATAGATTAAGTTAAAATAATCAATGAAATGTTTTAACTCTTTGAGAATTAATTTTATTGAGATAATCGATAAACCAGAAAACCAAAATGAATATACCCATCGTTGTGGCAATTGTATTGATATAACGAGCTTTCTTTGAAGTGTTTAATGCATCTTGTACAAGACCTTCTCTTTTTAAATCTTTTGTCTTGTTTGAATAATGCAAAGCAACACAGCCAAGACATAAGCAACAACAGAATACATTTATAATAGACCAAACTATGTAACTGTTAATTTTATCTGTTGATTGGATTATATTTCGATTGAGATTGCTAGAGGATGATGAAGAATTTATATTATACGTTGATTGAGGTTGATGAACTTGACTATGAGTATTTGAACAATTGACTGATTCTGTAGATTGAACTATATAATTAGGTGGTTTAGGATAAAGAACTGCATAATCAGGTGGTTTAGAATAAATGACCTTTGCTGAATTTCTATCTTTCGATAAATTATGAATAGTTAAAGTTGATGTAGCCATAATGCTCAAAGTATCATGTCTGATATGTCAAAAACCGATAAATGTATTTATCTGATACTTTATTTATATACTAATCAATAGAGAAAGAGACATATGGTTTCATATGAACTACATGATATATTGCCGTATAATTTATTGCCGCCAGGCATGCCATCGACACTTTATAGAAAAAGAGGAAAGTCATGTGCAAAAAATAGAGGATTCTTATTTAAAAAAAGAGGAGAAAAGGGATGTATAGTCTTGGATTGTAAAATGTCGATAAATATTCACATAATCGATAAATTAGTGCTTTGGTATCGCCTTTCAGTACTGACATGAGAAACTTAAAAAATGAATAGTATGTTTTTGGTGATAATTATGGTTGTGCAATTCATATTTTACCGACCGCAGAAAGAAAGGCTTATGAAAAAACACGAAGAAGTCATAGGAGTTGTTGCAAAACTATTCTAGTGTGATATCTCGTTAACCGAATACATATAGATAAGGAATTGGAAATAAGAAATATTGTCAATGTAAAAATTTGTTTTCTTTTGGTAATAGTTAAACAGCATCTGGCTGCAATAGTATTCATTTTGTTCGATATTCATTGTATGAAATCACTATGAATTTCAAAGAGTTTGATTAATACAAGTAAATTGTATAAGAGAAAATAATTTTGATTTCTCAATATACTGGAATTCAGTTTTCAGCATGTTCTTTAAAATTTGACTAAGAATAGGCAAGCTGCAATCCTGTAAGAGAGAACATGCGATAAGTTTCTGAAATTCAGAGCGCTTCATTATTAATTCACTTTCGAGATTACTGATCCAACGAATTTCTAAAAATCATATTACAGTTCACAATTCTAATTCTTTTGATTTTTCGATCAAGTTCTACACGAATTACAAATAAATATTCCATCGGATTTAAACATCCAAATCTTGCACTTGTGCTTATCCTTCAACTATGACGCTTAGCACTGTTCTCTTGCTTCGATTCATATATTAGATTGTAGTTTTTGACTATAGATATTTGTAGAAAATTGATAATCAACATGATATTATTTCATGCAACCTATACAATACATAAATAACAAATAACGCTTTTATGTTTCATTTTTACACTATGTCTTCATTTAATTTTATTGTGAAATAGTCAAATATAATGTTAGGAACAAGCAAATTCAAAGAATGTCACATTCGGACTCTATTTAATCAAATTAACATAAAAATATTCTTATCTATTGTATATCAAGTTCTTATAACAACTTACCCAACAAGTGCATTAATTTTTACTGGTTACTACGATGTTGTCATTGGCATTGATTTTCTGCCTTCTTTTTCTCTTAACAAGTAATTTCATCACTATGAGAAATGTATGACACATCACAAATATAAACTCACGTAAAACGAAAGAAGTAAAGCAAAAAACACACTTCATTCTACCGACATAAAACGGCACACAAGATCATCCAAACAATTTTAATCAATGTCGAATAAAATGCCTTTTACTTTTCTAACATTACCGGTAGAAATTATCTATCGAATTCTGGATCATCAGAGTGACCGGGCAATGCTGTGCTTAATGCGAAATGTCTGTCAACGATTTACTACAATCGTTGATAGCTACCACCGATATCAGGTAAACCGTTTTTTAATTATGATTGTCTATCCTCGAATCGTTTCTCGTTCTTTACAGTCCATATATTTGAGAAAATAACACTGAATAAAATAATGATCAGGCATACAGCATCGCTAAGTATTAATCTCCAGATAGAAAATCGTTAACAACATCAAAGTAATATGAAAGAAATGAGAATATATACATCGAAGTAATCTTTTTTTTGCATTCTTTTCTAAACAATTCACTGCTTTCATATTATTTTTACTCACCTATGCGCAATATTTACAAGAGAAACAAAAGAAGAAATTGCTTTTACATGTGCATCTATACTTTTATTCACACATCCTTTACATTGATACTGATTTGTTGCCAGAAGCTTTTTTAAGATCCATTGGTTTTTTCAAAAAGTCTTAATCATGTGTATCCCTATCTCTACAACTCGTTCAGTTTTGATAATTATTCAATCTCTGTGACATGCTGAAATCATGTTTATAACGAAATAATCATTACAAACAGGGATGAGACAACCGTTTACAGATATGCGACAAAATTTAATGAAGAACTACCGAATCATATATGTTCTCCTAATAGCTAAACGTTTAAATTAAACCTTGTTTGGTATTCTACCAAATTCAACATTTGTCTTATTATTATGGATGAAAAGATATCCTGTTAATGTTTTCATATGTTTATTTCGAATAATCACCCTTCTCATCACACACGTACAGAAAACACGCATATATATATACATATCTACAGAAAGAGAGAAAGAGAGAGAGAGTAATAAAAGATATAGGTATATAATATCACTTGAACAAAAGAATATATATATATAATCGTAATCATAACAAGTGATATCATATAGAAGAAGAAAAGAAGATTGACCTACATATGTTTAGACCCGTGACAGTCGACCCCTCCCCTTTTTTTTTGAAATGTGTGTTCGCACACATAAAAAGAAAGAAAATACGGACGTAGTATGTTTCAAATAAAGACCAGGACAAATAACAAGAAGAGAAAATTGCGAAAGAAGAATAATAAAAATAAAAGTAAATATTTCTTGTTTGTTTTTTTCAATTGGAATAGATTTTCTTTCGAATTTGATCATAATGTTCTTTTGTAAATAATCCATCATGTAGCATTTCATCCACTTGTTTTTGTATTTGTTCGCTTTTCACACCTATGAATAAAGTGTTGTCAACGATATTGGTGTTCACACAATAAATATTTATAAATATTAATATTTTCTTAATTTGTGTGTCGGTTAATTTATGGTAAACGCGTCGGATGACTACGAAATGATATCTATTTGTACACTTCTTCCTATTCTTTCTTTGGTTTCGTGCTAATGGTTTTTGTTGAAATGAATTAGTCGTTGTATATCTTTTTATATCGTCATCTTCACTTATCATTTCACAGGGTTCATCTGTAACATGTACTATTAATTGTTCATCTAATAGTTCTAATTCAACAACTGGCTCTTCTTGTATATCATTTAACTGTTCTGTTGATTCTTCATATTCAATCGTTGCTGGCGGTGTTAATATATTAATAAATTGTGTTCGTTAAATCAATTGTGTAACTGCAGATACATCATTGATTGCATATTCTTTTAATATTCGTCTATATTTAACTTCTTTTTCCATTTGATAATTTAATTCCTTACCATCCACATTTTTTGAAATATAAGTATTTAATGCCAAGTCAATATCGCATCTATATTCAGCTAATGAAGCTGTTTTGCTTGAATATTGTTTAAACTGTGATTTAATTGTTAGTTGTGATGACGTTATTTTGTTCTGTGCTAAATTCATTTTGTATATTATTATCAAGAATTTTTATATTCGATTTAGATACATTAAATATTTGAAATTTTTCAAGTTCATCTTGAGCTGAACTCCATAAATAAATATTATTATTTGACGTAAATATAATAGTACATAGTTGTTGTATTTTTTTGTAAATTTTTGGTAAATATTGTGCTTCGATGATAATAACAATAGATGATGCATTTGGACGAATATATTCAACTTGTAACGTTGCTAGTTTATGTGTTAATGCGTCGTTTTTAGTATTCATTGAATAATGATTGGTTAATTTTGCTGTATCAATTAATTCATCTAATAATAATATATTTGTTTTTCGATTAATAAAATAACATTCATAGTTTTCTGGTTATTCAAATGGTGATATAATATCCCGTTGACATTCCTCTTCTAATTTTTTTCAGCCCGTAATACTTGCAATATCTTAGTTTCAGTCATAGTATAGAACAATTCGTTCATGTATAATATGACAGAAACATATCCAATCTAACTAGTTCAATTGAATCTTCTGGAAAAATCAGGAACAACAGACGAATATGTCGAGTAGTATCTCACCATGAATTTCATCCGCAATGAAGCGATTGATTCATTCTCGCCTGTAATATTTTCCTTAATCTTTCGACTCTCAGGCCTGAAGGTTTGCGAAAAAACAACAAATCGCACTCTTCCATCCTCATCCTTCTTTACAAGATTTCACTAACATCTCATAAAATAACAGAGTAACTCCTTGTGCCTCTTCATCTGTTCTCTATATGCATGTACACTTTTTCATGCAGACACTTACTACACTAAATCTCGGTGGCAATGGGATCGGAGATGTTGGAGCACAGCATCTAGCAGATGGATTACGAAATAATACGGTAATTATCCTTCTTTTCCTCATCTATTTCATATATTCATCTGCACTTTCCAATGTAGACACTTACCGAATTAGATCTCTAATGGAATCAACTCGGGAATATTGGAACACAGCATCTAGCAAACGCATTACGAACTAATACGGTAATGAATATTCTTATCATTATCTATTTTATATATCCATCTGCACTTTTTCATACAGACACTTACCACATTGAATTTCGCCATAAATGAAATCCGAGCTGTTGGAGCTCAGCGTATAGCAGATCTACTACGAACTAATACAGTAATTAATATTCTCATCCTCATCTATTCCATGTGTCTATCTGTACTTTTTCATACAGGCACTTACCATATTAATTCTATTTAACAATAAGATCGGAGATATTGGAGCACAATATATAGCAGATGCATTACGAACTAATACGGTAGCTATCATTATTTTCCTCATCTATTATATATATATATATATATCTGCACTTTTTCATACAGACACTTATCACATTAGATTTATATAATAATAAAATCGGAGATGTTGGAGCTCAGCATTTAGCAGATGTATTACGAACTAATACGGTAACTATCATTCTCTTTCTCATCTATTTCATATATCAACCTGTACTTTGTTATACAGACACTTACCACACTAAATCTTAAGTGGAATGATATCGGAGATGTTGGAGCACAGCATATAGCAGATGTATTACAAACTAATACGGTAATCACCATTCGTTTTTTCATCTATTTTATATATCTATCTGCACTTTTTCGTACAGACACTAACCATCTTAGATCTCGACATGAATACAGTCAGTTGGGAACTCAGGAATGATATCGTTGAGTTCATTGAACGAAACAAAAGAGTGCCAGAGTTATAAATCCTGGTTTCGCCGATATACTGATCACTACGAGAAAACTATTAACGAATTTTACGATAACTTTCTGTGTTGTGCATCACGGTGATAAAATATAAATGAAACGGTCACTTTATTTGTGCTATATATTGTAACAATATAATTGGAATTCGGTTTTATTGAGAGGTGACGATGTTCATGAGGTGCATTTTTATACTGATATTTGTGATAGTTGATTATACTATACTACGAAATTGCATATAATATGAAATCTCCCTAATACGAACGCTCATAGGACTGTTCAAAAAGTGCACATTGAATGAGGTGTTCATCTTAGGCAGGTTTCACACTGAATGAAGTGTATATATAAATAAACAAGTAATGCTCGTCCAAGAACTCGTTTAGCTCTTTCTCGTACAAATACATCCTCTTCGCATTTACTGGAAAAACAAATGAAAACCTTGCTCTCCTTTGTTGTTTGTTACTCTTAGCACACGCTCTCATCCTATTCAGTAGTATGAGTGAAGGAGGCGCACATTTGAATTCGCCACATCGAAACACTTCAAGAAATATCTTTTTCTGACCCTGCGGACATACAAGCAATCAGATAATTCATGTTTGCAAGACTCTTCTCTAGGAGAAAGAGAAGAATACTATATGTTCTTGATGATGATTGTTTTATTATCATTTTATTTTTGTTTCGAGTGAAATATCTATTTTCGATGCTGACTCTTCTTGTTGTTGTGATTGGGTTCCTGATGTGATCGTTGGTGATTTCGTTTTATCGATAACTTCATTATCTTCATCCGATGACAAAGTAATTGAAAATATTGGTTAACTGTTTTCTTCACAGTTATGTATACGATGATTTATCATTTATAATCTAGAATGTTTTAACAAAAAATATAGTTCAAAATGTTCTTTTATAACAAGGAAAATATAAATTCAGACAAAACAATTACAAAAAAATCTAATAGCAAAATACAAAAAAACTTTCTAATTGTTCTTTTATTTCTTCGTTTTGAACAACGAAGACAAGTTAATTGATCATTAATTGTTTGAGAATAAAATTCATCCTCATTCTGCATGGTCCATAAATAATCAAATAAAGGATCTTTGAATGGTTTTGTTTCGTTGAGCATCGATAATGGTGGTGAATACCAATACATGTGTTCACATATTACATTGTCATTAATTACTCCATCTTGCTTGTTGTTAGCAACAGACTGTATTGATGATAATGATAGTAAAGAAGGTAATGATAGTGGTAGTGGTGGTGGCGTTGTTGCTTTCAATAATGATTGGAGGGACGATAATGTAGATGACGAATGGGTCCATGACAAAGGATGTGGTGAATTAGACCATTGAAGACGTGTAAAATTGGGATATGTTCTTAAATCAATAACATCTAGTACATTATTGTCTATACAACTAGGGAAAACTGAAAAATGTATTATATCTATTGTTGAAAATATAATATTGCTCACTGGTTTCAATACTTGGAATACAGCTAGCCATTGAATTTGTTAGAAAAATGTTGAACTTGAAAGAAATAGATCTATAGTAAAGATGCAACCCATTTTTTATTATTTTTATTAAGAAATAAATACATTTGAAAGCGTTTTCCTCTTGTTCATCTTATTGATATGAAATATTAACATAAAATTATTTAATTTAATTCCTAATTAAATACATTTTAACCAATAGAAAATGCTTTATATCTAAATTGTAATTTATGCATATACTTTAGAATTATTTTTAAATATAAAGTATAAAATATTCTTTATATTTAAAATATTTATGAATTATTGATAATTTATACGTTTCTTTTTCCTATATCAAAAACAAGATAAGATTTGAGTTCACTTACAAATTTTGTCTTTATTTCGTTTCTTTTATAATTGCCCACTAATTTTAACTGATATCTTTTTGAGTTGAGTCGATTTCGAAAATATAAATTGACCTATATTCTTAAAATTTCGTTTTTACTTACTGTTTGATTGTTTTATACTCCAGTATTTTATTATTCAATTTTTGTTGTAGATCATATTAAGTTACATCATGTTTAATGGATGCATCAGTAAGTTGTTTCTGTAATTGTTTAATTTTTTTCCTTAGTTCTTGTACTTCTTGATTCCAATCATTTATTATATTTGCATGTTCTTTTTGACACTAATTAGCCATAGAGGCTCTTCATTATCATCATAAATAACTTTCTCATAGTTCACAGGACAATCATTCATATTTTTATTATTATGAAATTGCTATTAGTTGTTCTTTATTATTTTCGGCAACATAACTTGTGTTGGTGATGATAAAGTATCCACTGTTGAACAGGTTTTGATTTGTAAACTAAATAATTATAGAAAGATGTTTATCTTTTTATAGAAAAAAATTCTTTTAAATAATTAATTATCATCTCGACATCAAAGAAATTTCAATTATTTGTTTTTGAAAATTTATACTTGAATAAAATATATATAATTTCTCATGTATTGTATTTATTTTAAATAAAAATCGTTTTAGTTCAATGTATGATTTATTTAATTATAAAATAAAACTATAATATTTTTTCATTTCCTATCGATAATTTATATTACTGATATCAACAGAAGAAACAATCGAATGGAAATGAATAAAAGCTTTAATAAAAATGAATTCAGAAACTACACTTATACATATATTCATAATACATTGAAATTTCAAAGCAAATATAGAAAAAAATTAGAAATTTAATTCATTATGAATATATTTACAAATGTAGTTTAAAACAAAATCCTTTTTATTAAAATTTCAACAAGTTTTTAATTGTTATCTTCTGTTTTTTGGTTTACTGATATCAAATAGAAATTATTTAATTTACAGTTTAATCTTTTCAAAAATTCTCACCATAAATAATTTATATTAATATTAAAATGAAATTTTTTGAATATACATTTAAAATATAAAATTTACATGGTAATTCATACAGAATATCAAACATAAATTGAAAAACAAAAGAAAAATAACCAGTTCAAATTTATTTTCTTGATTTTATATTATTAATTATTGTGTTTCTTCAATTAATTAAACAATAAATATAAATATATGAGTATTTCTAACCATTTTTTGAAATTATAAAAAATAAAGACTTACTTTACGAAATCATTAATAATTTTCTGAGAATTTGTATAAACTGATTGATGATGTTGTGAACGTGATAAAATAAATTAGATACCTATAGATTATTTTTTTTTTGGGAAAATTCTGAAATCAAATAAAATAGAAGTATTCTACTTTAAAATTATTCATTCTTTTAATCTTCTAACGTTAAAAATATCTAGAAAAACACTCAAAATAAAATGATCTTATTTTAACAAATCTATTGATCTTTCCGCATGATAAGAATCTTATTTAATGCTTTACAACTAAACTTTTATTATAAAATAATTAATTTTCAATTATCAATAAGTATGTATAAGGAAATTGATAAAAAACGACTATAACATGAATGGATTTTTCGTCAATTTGAACTTGTGATATTGGTGGGAATATATATGTAACATTAGCTTCATTTCATGCTTCTTGTTTTGATTCGGCAACTGATGTAACTAAGTTTTCAATTTGATTGAAGCATTATTTTATTTTTTGATTGTTGTTCAACATCGAGTTTGTTTGATGTGTCTTGTTTTGGTTGAGCAACTGGTGTCATTAACGTTTCAATTGACTGTGGCTGTTCTTCAATATCAAGTTTAGTTGATACTTCTTCTATTGGTTGATAAACTGGAGTGATCAAATTTTCACTTGTTTGATTTGTTACGATATTATTTAAATCCTGTGAATTACGACGAATATAATTTTTTTTTAATTTCTAATTTAATACATTAAAAGCTAATAGAAAATAATAGTTCTACTTCACTTACGAATTTTGTTTTAGGTTCATCAGTTTTAGTCGTATATTCCAGGTCGAACAATCCGGCACTGAAACGGTCTCTAATATGTAAACCCACATCCACATCCTCACACTGACAACTTGTTTTATTACTTTCATGAATCCAGTTTCATAGTTAGACATGATTAAAGGAAGTGTAAAAATTTTGTTCCTGTTTTCAGCAGCGAATTTTAATGTTTCTATAATCGAACCATAAGTTTCATTGTTTTTATGAGTACATTGTACAAATGGTAGGAGATAGTTTGAAATTACTTACATTCTTCTTCGTATATAACATGTATAGTATAAATCTGGTGGAGTTATGGTGGTGAAGAAGTAATTGTACCATCGCAAAATATGACTTTTGAATTGAAAGAGTATGCAGTTGTTGATTAGACGAGTACATTAAAACACGATCAAATTTTGTATTGTAATAATGAGCTAGTAAATATTTCTCTCAACTTCCATTTAATCGATATGTTTTTTGGTATTGTAGGAATTGTACTTGCACGTGCCTTATATAATGCAGATTCTAAAAATAAAAATATTCACAATATTACAAACTCCGAAACAATATGCTGAACTAATTAACTCAAAATAAGATGTAAATCATAAAAAAACTTTCAAATCATAAAATTAATTAATGTTTTAAACGCTGGTACTATACTCACTTGACTTTGTGTAAGTTTTGAGATGCGCTACTTCGAATTTATAAATGAAACTGGCAGATAAATGTTCATTTGTAAGATGACAACGAATTTTTGATACTAATTTAATAATGACAGTTTCATCTGAATCAAAAAGATATATTTGTGTTGAACTTTGTCATGCTTTAAGTGAATATCTTCAGATGTTGTACGTATATATACGCTCTGCAACGATCACTATCTTCACAGCGCCAATATTTTTTATTCGTTGTTACTTGATTCAAAACATGCTTGTATCCATTAGGAATTAAAATTCTCTTGTGTTTTGTCGATAAAATGAATTCAATTTTACAATTATCTATTGATGTTCATTAGGCAGAACATCAATATAAAATTTTATACACAAGATCTTTGTGTACTATTCTTTGTTTTCATTCATTTATGTATTGAGTTATAAACTATGAACATCAAACAAAGCATAAAGACTAGGTTGACGCTGCGTATTTACATAGAAAGTATTCAAAATACAATTGCTGTCTATAAGATTAATTATAAGCAGTTTGTATGGACTTTCTGTGATAAATTCATTCAGCGAAAGTGGAATTTACCTTTGCAGCTACCCAAAGCCACACCCACACTCCACCTCATTTTGAAATGTATTATATAGAATATATGAAGCAGAGCAGCTAACGAAAGCTACAACAAAACTTTAATCAATGAAACCATTTAAGAAATGAATAGTAATTTTTATTGACTGTGGCAGTTAGTTTTCGCAAGAATCGACATGCATGAGAATTTAATGGTCCAGCATAACCATTAAATTTTAATTCATATCCTTACCCATCCATCTTCAAGGTGATTCTTTTTTACATTTTATAACAGCTCAGAGTATCTATTTTGATTACATTATTTGGCTAACACGTGAAAAAAGATAAATTTAACTTATCTTTCTTTTCATACCTGTCAATAGAAGGTAATAAAATGAAAGAATGTTGTTCTTTTTCACATGAAATTTATCGATTCTATTGCATTACACTAATTCGTCGTGTAATAATTTTAGATTAATTATAAACTAGAATGCTAACAATTCGTCCAAGTCGAGATGACGATATTCCATTCATTACTGCAATATATAGTTATTATGTATTATATAGTACAAGTACGCTTGAAACTATACCACCAATAGCCGATGAGATGGTAAGTCGACGAGATGATGTTCTGAAAAAGAATCTACCGTATCTCATGGCAGAAGATGATAACTCAATTGTTGGATATGCGTATTGTATGTGGTTTAAACCACGTGCTGCTTATCGGTACGCTGTAGAATTATCAATCTATTTTGATAAAGATGTCTGTAGTAAAGGTTTTGGTCGGCAATTGTTGAATGCTTTGTTAGAAGAAGCCAGATTAGTTGGTGTTCGAAAAATGATTGGTGTCATTGGCGATTCAGCAAACAATCGCTCTATTAATTTACTTCGTGCTGCCGGATTTTCTCATGTTGCCACATTGAAATCTTATGGATGGAAGTTTAACCGCTGGCTTGATGTAATTCTTATGGACAAAAGTATTGGTGAAGATGATGCAACAGCTCCTGAATAAATAACTATAATCTCGAGCATATTGTAGGAAAAAAAATATATAATTAAAGTACAATTAATATTAATCAAACTTTTCGAACACATAATTATTATATTTTACTGTTAAAGATTGCAAAGAACTAGTACCTATAGTAATATGTTTATTAACTTCAATACAGATAATACGAAGACAATTTTCTTCAAATCTTTTTTAAGTTTTGCATGCTACATTATCTCATCGACATATACAAATATATGCTGGAGATGCAAGTAGATTTATTGAATCCTTATTTATAATAATTGGAGAAGTAATATGAAGAACATCATAATTAAGTTATTTAAATGTTCTTATCTATCATTGAAGATTCGCTTCAGAAAAATACTGTTTCTAATAACAAACGACGTACTAGCATGGAGACACTTGTTCAAGTACCTTTAGTAATGTGATTATTATTTGAATAATTTTCCTAACTGTTGTTGTTTGTTGTAGAGTATCCTACAAGTCTAATACGAACTGTTATGATAAATGTAAATCAATAGAAAAGGACAATTGATAATACAGTCTTCAATGAGGATAGAAAAGAAATAAGCAAAATATCAGTAAAAGTACCGTCAATCGATTGGTTCTACTAATTCTAACGAAATCGAACTTAAATAGTTGGTGAATTGATCAAAGATCTAATGTTCTTTTCATATATTTGATAAACTATAAATTCAGATTACTGATGAATTATTAATTAAAAATTTAGTAACACATATATCTCTGAGCTTTAACATATACTATCGAGTATTTTAAACTTATATTTCATGAAAATCGTCGAATAAATGTTAAGAAACTATTTGTTGATTGTACTTCAAAGACTGATATAAATAAAAAACCAATGAATTTCAGAAATAAATTATCAAATTCAATAGTTTTGTTTACAAACTACTCTAATATTGTTTTGAGTTATGTCGTCGTATTTTTAACAGCTTTTATACGTAAATACACTCTAACTAAAAACAATATATTGTTTCTCGTTTGCTATTAATGCGCACATAATAATACTATACTGTTTTTTTGTTTATCATCTATTATATACAAGGTATTTTGATGTTCTTCTATCAATCATTGATGCATACCGCGTAAGACGATAGCTGCCTAAACATTAAAAAAAAATCGAAACAATAATCTTAAACATAGATGATTTTATTTATTTAGATTTGTACTTATTTCATTCTTTGGCATACTAAATGAATGATTATTATTTTAAAAAATATTCAATAGCATGGTTTACTAATTTGATAAAGTCAAATTGGTAAATACTAATAAAACTCTTATGTATCTAATTGTTAATTATTTCATTCAGGTCATCGCGATATCCTATTCTTATATCTGGTGGATTGCTCATTATTCTACTTACTTTAAGTGTCATAGCAATTATTCTTATCTCGACTCGTAGTATTACTATCCATCAACATAATAATGAAGCAATACATATTGGTGAATGTTTTTTAATTATGTAAATAATTGCTATTATGTGTTTTTTTAGTAGAACCATCATTTAATATAACATATATAATAGTTAATGATATTAATTCACCTACTCCAATTTTTAATTTTAATTCAAAACAAATATCACAAAATGTAAGTAAAAAATATTTTCTTTCATAAGAAAATTAAAATAATTTCAGTTCGAAAATGCTCTTAAATTACCAACAAAAAATATTTTACAATTAGAAAAAAAATATCAAAATATAGTTAAGCAAGCATTCGATAAAC